TCAGCCTCATCTTCCCGCAGGCGGTCTTGTGAAAGGAGACGAGGTCATGGCAATCAATGGCAAAATCGTGACGGACTACACCCTGGCTGAGGCTGAGGCTGCCCTGCAGAAGGCCTGGAATCAGGGGGTAAGAGCGAACCTCCTCCCTGCCTCCCTCCCTTGCCTGCTTGCCTCAAACCCTGGCCTCTGCAACCAGGCCTTAGAGCCGGGGTTCCTCATCCCAGGGTGGGTATTCAGGATCCAGGCAACACTTGGGTGATGCCCACATACCCCATCCAGCCGAAAGTCTCAGTCTGACAATGTGGGATTCAGAAAAATAAATGTCAGTTCCTGATTTTGAATCCAAAAGCAAGTAGCACAGATACAGACTCCAGAAGACCAGGTGTGGCAACCCACCCAAGAAGAAAACTTAAGGTCTTCTGTAAGTGCGCACTGACCAGGAATCAAGAGAATGCCTTGGGGCTACTAGAAAGCATTCACAGAAGCAGAGGGCCCAGAATGGAGGAGGGGCTGAGGGTAGCCTGCTCTGTGGTCATTAGACACCTGGGTCAGGGCCACCACATAAGATCTCCCAGGCTGTGCACTGCACAACTCGAGGGGTGCCCTCCTACCGACTACAGTGTGAATGGCGCCCGCTCATGTTGTGCAATGCACAACCTGTGCAACTGTATGCAGGCAGCCGAGCCTGGGGTATTAAGTTCAGAGCCGAGGAAGCTGACCAGATGGGACTGGGACCCACATGAAGGGATGTGGAGAAGAGAAGACTTACGGGTAACATGATGACTGTCTTTGATTATCTGAAGGGCTGCCTTAGGGTAGAGGGAGCAGAAGTGCTTTCTGTGGTTCTTGAGGACAGAACTGGATTGGATGGAGGGAGGTCCTGGGAAGAGATTTCAGTTCCATATTAGGAGCTATTGCATGGTAGAGGGACCCAGTGGTAGTTCACATACCTTTTATTGAATACGCCCAAATCAAGGGTGGACAATGATGGATAAGCCAAGGATGGCAGTGATCTATTGAGGGGTGCATGTGTTAGGATCAGAAATCTAGGCCTGCAATTCCCTAATTGGCTGTACCTCAGAATAACTCAGGGACCTTGTTAAAAATACTGTTTCCCAGGACCTACCCTAGATTTCCAGGGGTCAAGTCCAAGAATCTAGAGTTTTAAGAAATTCCCCCATGACCCCAAGGTTGCTGCCTGGCCCTGGTCCACAGGTCAGCATTTGGGAACTTGGTGTCATATAAGGGCCTGGCAACCCTGGCTCTGTGGTTTGAAGCCTCAGAGACGGGAAGCTTCCCCAGACCATGGGGCCACAAAGTGAGACCCATCCCACCAGGAGGTCCTCCAGCCCCAACTGGGCCCACCTTCCCATGGGAAGAAGGTCCGAGCCAGCTGATCCTGGGCCATGGTGCCCAGGAATGGGAATGGAGTGTCAGGGGCAGGCATGCCATCAATCCCTGAGCATGCCCTAGCATCACATACCTTCTCCCCGCAGGACTGGATCGACCTTGTTGTTGCTGTCTGTCCCCCGAAGGAGTATGATGACGAGCTGTAAGTGTGTGCGGGAGCCTGGCCCACTACCTCCTCTGTCTCTTCCTCCTCCAGAATCTTGGCTCCCTTCTGCCAGCCCACTCCCAGCCTCCATCAGCCTGAAGGAATGGCCCAGGCACACAGCTTCTAGTAGAAATCACTCCGAGAAAGCACCGAGCTAGAGAAAGCCTAGAACTAAGTCATGGTCCTCAAGCATTTTCAGAGCTGCCTCTGAGACTACCTTGTCCAAATTCTTCTTTACGTCTGGAAAACTGAGGTTCAGGTCTCAGACCAAGTAAACGGGGAAGTTGGTACAAAGCCTCGGGACTTCTGATTCCCCACTCAGAGGCTCAGCCCCCGCACCCTCATCAGCTAGTTTACAGATTTCTGTTTTTTACTCTCTGGACGGTGATAGGTAAAGGTAACTGCTTTGCTTCTTGCTGAGTCTTTAAGCTGCTAGGACCACAGACTTTGGCCCTACCTGCAGGATCTGCGAAGAGCCTTGGTCCAGTTTCCATCTTTCTCTGTGATTTCCTATATGTTTGTTTCTTTCTGTTTCATTCCTGTCTCTGTACCTGTGTGGGATCTCTATTTCATTCTCTATCTCCTTCCACTCTCTCCCTCTTCCCCATCCTCCCTGTCAATCTCCCACTCCCATCTGCCCCACTCTTTCCCCTTCATCTTTCTTCTCTTCATTGCCTTTCCTCTTCTTTCTTACTTTCTCCTTTGCTTCTCTATCTCTGAGTCTCTGCATCCATTTTTATCTGTCTTTCTCTGTCTCTGTCTTTGTGTCTCTCTGCCTCTCTGGTGTCTGACCTCCATCC